GCCTCGGTGAAGATGTCGGCAATCTGCATGTGAGAGGCAACATGAGGAAGAGATACAGAACCTGCAACAAGGTGGTCTCTAATAAAGTGACAATCCACCTCGATATGTTTAGTCCTCTCATGAAAGACTGGATTAGATGTGATCTTGATAGCGCTGGTGTTGTCGGCATAAAGAGGGATAGGAGTAGGAAGAGAAATACCAAGATCAATGAAAAGTGACTTCAGCCAAACAATCTCGCTACATGCAGAAGACATAGCTCTATACTCGGCTTCAGTGGAAGACTTAGAGACAGTTTGCTGTTTCTTGCACTTCTAGGAGATGAGAGAGTCACCCATGAAGACACACCACCCAATAGTGGATCGCCGAGTGTTAGGGCAACCAACCCAATCAACATCAGCATAAACCCTCAACTGTATGGATGATGAGGAAGAGAAAAACAGTCCCTGAGAGGTTGTGTCTCTAACATAACGGATGATGTGGTGTACTGCAGTCATATGAGGTTGTCTTGGGGCAGAGACAAATTGACTGGCGACCTGAACAACATGTGAAATATCAGGCCTGGTCATAGTAAGATAAATCAAAGAGCCAACAAGCTGACGGTACAAGGTAGCATCAAGAAGGATGAGGCCTTCGGATTTAGATAGCTTGACATTCAGCTCCAGGGGATATCAACATACTTCTCATCAGTGATTCCAGCTAGTTTGACGAGATCAAAGGCGTATTTTTGTTGGTAAACAAAATATCTTCGATTGCTATGATGAACCTCCAAACCCAAGAAGTAAGTGAGAGGACTTAGGTCCTTCATGTGAAATGAATTATGAAGTAAGGACTTCAGCTCACAAATGCCGTCATGGTCATCCCTCGTTAGGAGCATGCCATCAACATATAATAGAAGAATAGTAATACCCTGGGGTCTTCTCTTAACAAAGAGGGAGTAGTTAGAGGAGCCCTGATTATACCCAGCTACAACAACAACATCCCGGAAGCGCTCAAACCAAGACCTAGGTGCTTGCTTCAGGCCATATAAAGACTTCTTCAGGCGACAGACACGTGAATGATCACTGCAATATCTAGGCGGAAGTTTCATGTAGACTGTCTCCTTTAATTCACCATGAAGGAACGCATTCTTCACATATAATTGGTAAATAGTCTAGGAATAAACAACAGAAATGGCCATAAGAGTCTGAACTATGGTGATCTTAGCAACCAGGGTAAATGTTTCTTCATAATCAATCCCATATTCCTGATTGTATCCTTGGGCAACTAACCGAGCCTTATATCGATCAAGAAAGCCATTTGATTTCAGTTTGATTGTATAGACCCAACGGCTTCCAACAATAGAAGCATCTGGAGGAGCTGGCACAAGATCTCAAGTGTCATTCTCATGGAGGGCTTGAATTTTGGCATCCATAGCTTCTTTCCACTGAGAACTTCTAATGGATTGCTGATAAGATCTAGGGATATCTATGGAAGAAAGTACAACAGAAAAGGAACTATGGTTTGAAGGAAAACCATAGTGGTTAGGAGGTCGAGAGATATGGGTAGAACGACGAAGTGGAATAACCGAACTACTATCTCAAATAGGAGGATCTTGGGTCAAGGTATTACTTACAGAGGATATCTGAGATGAATGCTCTGGACCGGGTGGAAGGGAGGGCTGTAGGCGCAGGAGCTGGGACACGTAGCCGCTTGTGGGTGAAGACAAGAAGATCTCTCTTAGTTGAGGAAGTAGTAGTGTCATTTGAATCAAAGTCCTGCAAAACAGAGATGAAAGCAACAAACAATCTAGCAACCCCAACAAAGGAGATATGTTCAAGAAACACAACATTCCGAGAAATCCGAATATGACGAATAGCAGGATCATAACACAAAAATCCTTTGCGGTCAAGACTATACCCCACAAAGGCACACATAGCAGACTAAGCAGTTAATTTAGATCATTCACGAACAGGAAGATGAACAAAACAAAGACAACCAAAAACATGAAGGCTAGAGAAATTTTGGGGATAACCAAAAAATTTTTGGAAGGGAGAAGTGTTGCTTAGAACAGAGGATGGAAGAAAATTGATCAAATACACGACTGTACTGGCTGCTTCTACCCAAAACGAAGTTGGAGTATGAGACTTCTGTAGTAATGTCCACACAACATTTAGAATATGCCCATTCTTCCGTTCAGCCACACCATTCTGTTGTGGAGTGTCTGGGCAGCTGCGTTGAGACTGAATTCCATAACTCCTCAAGTAGGCCTGAAAGTCTCTGTCTCTATATTCTCCCCCTGAATCTGAGCGGAGGATAGTCACATTGCACTTGAAATGATTTTGCACCATAGTATGAAATAATTTAAATGTGCCAAAGACTTCTGATTTGCGCTGCAAAAAATAAATCGGAGTATATCTGGTACAATCATCTATAAATAATACGAAATATCTATACCCCAATCGTGAAGTAATAGAAGCAGACCAAACATCACTATGTATTATCTCAAAAGGTTTAGTGGCATGTTTAGATGTACGAAGAAATGGTAAAACATGACTTTTACTCAAACAACACGTAGTGCAAGAAACATCAAAAGTATCATCAGGGGGAATTTTATTCTTAATCAAACCAAAGTCAAACAAAAATTTTAATTTTTGGGAATATGGATGACCCAATCGTTTATGCCATAAATCCCAAACATTATTTCTATCTCAATAGAGAATCAAACAAAGAAGAACTAAGTAAAGCTGAGGATGCCTCGGTTGAGACTTCTCAAACTCCAGCGCAAACAGACGGCCTAGCCTACACCCCTTCCCTTTCACCTTCCCAGTGTACCGGTCCTGTATCAAGCAACCATCATGAGAAAATGTGAGGACATTTCCTTCATCAACAAGTTGGCCAATAGAAATCAGATTAGTAGTAAGGTTGGGTACTAAGAGGGTTTTGGAGAGAGGAAAGGATCTGGTTGGTGACAGTTGAATGGACAAATCATTACTACCAATGATGTCTAACTTTTCACCATTAGCAGTAATAATATGTTCATGGTGAGTTTTAGTGGAAGGGATTGGGTGATTGAGGTAGGCTCCTATCATATGGTTGGTGGCACCTGAATCTATAATCCAAGCATGTGAAGGGGAAGAACAATATGCAGAGAACTTACCAGACAAGCCAATAGCAGAGAAAGCAGAGGAAATAGCAGAAGATACCGGTTGCCGAACTCTTTCTTCATCTATGACACCTGTTGATTCACCTTTCATTGAAGACTCACCCTTGGTAGATACAATGTCTGTTGCTGGTCCATCTGTTGCCTGATAGGTCCGGGGCTGAGTCTTTTTCTGAGAGCCCTTAGCTGGTCGGACTGGACAGTCTGGAATGATGTGACCATGTTGCTTGCAATAGGTACACACATTCTTCTTCTTACAGTGAGATGCAATATGTCCAAAACCCTTACACTCATAGCACTGGGTTTTGGAGAGGTCCTTGGGGGTTGGCTTCTTACCCCCATGAGCAATAAAGGCTGTTTCAGCCCCAACTTCAGCCATCTTCCCATCAAACCCGACTGCAGTGAGAAGTCTAGTCTCTTCTCTCAGAAGTTCCCCTAAAACAGAATTCATATTTGGTAGTGTTCCCCTACTTAGAATGTTGGACCTGATTATCTCATATTCAGGTCTAAGTCTCATCAAGAACTGAGTCACCTTTCTCTTCTCAAAGTGCTTCTGAAGATATTTCACACACTCCACTGGATCCGAGGGTTCAATGTGAACAATCTCATATTCAGCCACTAATCAAGAAAACCAGAATAATACTCCTGTATCCTCCTATTTCCTTGGCTGTAAGAGAATATTTCTGATTCTATCTGATATTGCTTAGATACGTTAGACTGTTGATAAACTTTTTCTAGATACATGTACATCTCATATGCTGTTTTCATTCTCCTCATAGGTATAGATATATGATAGTCAATAGGACTCAGAATCCAAGAAACAAGTTTACCATTATCCAACTTCCATTGTTGTAAAGCTTTGGCCTCGGTCTCAGATACCGTTCCATTCAGATATCCTTCTGAACCCTTTCCCTCAACATAAAAGTCGAAGTGGAACTTCTACATCCCATAGTTCTGTCTACTCATCTTTACAGGAATGATATCACCTTTGTATGAAGCCATTACAGCAAGAAAATAGCACAAATAGGGTTCGACTGAAGTTTAAAGAAATTAATCTGAAGTAAAACTTGATCCAAAGACAAGTGAAATAGGCTGTAATCAATCCAAGAGAGTAAAAAAACTGAGATAGAAACCCCTTACTTTCACCGGAGATTGTTCAGGATCCAAAACAAAGAAAAGCTGAACACAGTCTAGAAAAGGAAAGTTTGGGTGCAGCCGCCAAGAAGGAGAGTCCAGATCTCTCTCAAAACTTCACGGATCTCTGTAAAAATTTCAAAATATGTTGAGAAGGGCTAGGCGACAACTCCTTTCAATTCTTGCTGCAAACGGAGGTCAAACAAGAGAGATCCAATAAAATCTCTCTCTGGGTGCGCAGAAAACAGAAGAGTTCCTGGATAGATCAAAACAATCCAGGACCACTCGGCAGAAATGTAGGTTCTCAATAGATCACGAAGACAAGATGGATCAGAGAGAAGGAAGATCAAAGAGCAACAACCTGCTCTGATACCATGTGAACTGAATTCAGAGCAAGAAGAAAACAGATCTAGGGGTGTCAAGAATAGTCGACCCCCACCCCAAAGAGTCTCTTTTATATTAAAGAGATAAAAAGTATGTACAGTTACAAGAATGCCCTTACAAGGATGAAAGATAAAAAGAACAAATAAAATAATAAGAACTATGATACTGTACAACAAGGACTACTCTAATAATGTACATCAAGATATATCTTCACATTGTCAATGCATCTTTTTATGCTATTGAGTCTTGTTGTATGTTGTTATGGTGCACTTTTAAACTATTATATTCATCATTCTTTATTCTGTCAGTGCAGCTTAGTCACCACAAATTTTCTTGTCTGCAGGCATGTTGAAGATTCCATTTGTATTCTTGACAAATGGTGAGTCTCTCTCTAGCCAAAAGAGCACATTAAGCTATCTTCTACTTTTTTTTTGATAAACAAATAAAAAGAAACTTTATTAATTAAAAGGAAAAAAGTACAACTTAAGTACCTATCAAGAAAAAGTACAACCACAGAGAGGTAATGGGGCAGCACCCAAACAACAAAGAGAAGAAGCACCATACATTTTTTATTACAATTTATAATTGGCTGCTGAAGCTCTAAGCAGGCCCAAAAGAGAGATCTAATCCACTACTTTTCATTATCTATCAAGATCTAATCCAATATTTGTTGTTCTCTTACAAAAGCACTGTGGAATATAATATTGTTGCAGCTTAGTATATCTCTGATTCTGAATGTAGTTGTTCTGAAAGGACCTTTCACACACTCCCATTTAGAATTGTTGGTCTAATGTCTTTGGGCTCTTCAACTCCAGATTTCTTTGGGATCAGAGAGATGAAGAAGCGATATTGCTGATTAAATTTAGACACAACTCAGTAGGATGCTGGACAGAATTTTCTGGATGCTTTCTGTTTTATTCGTCTTGCATATTATCATCAGTTAGATGTCTTTTGAATGGATCAATTCAGTGAAATTGTGCTTGCATGTACGAGCTTTCATCCTTTTGAACTTTTCTTATTGCAATTTGGACATTGTTTCGAATTATTTCCAGATAAGGAATCCTCTGGGTACTTGTCTTATAATTGTGGTTTATATGTGAACTAAAATAGGGTAATAGGCTAACACATATTGCCAAACTATTTTAATAGGAGGTGGTGTACCAGAATCTAAACGAGCCTCTGAGTTAAGTGAACTTTTGGGAGTAAACATTCTACCTTTACAGGTATTATTCTGAAGATCCAAATATCTTTCTGTGGCCATACGACAGTCATAGGACTTGGCATCTCCATTGGTATTTGTTCTTCTGCAGGTTGTACAGGGCCATTCACCTTTCAAAAACCTAGCAAAGAGGTATATGTCTTGATTGAATTATCGCATTACTGAAATTCACCATCTAAAAATGCATTTGTTCAGGCACATTATTTACATTGTTCTCTTTTTCGCTTAGGTTGCAAAATGTTCATTATTCTACTAATTAGTGGAATCTGGAAGTGTATTCGATGTGTTATGTTTTTATTAAAGGTTATTTGCTTTTAGCAGATATGAGAATCAACTCGTTGTTGCTGTTGGAAAAGGGGAACCTGCTACAGTGATGTTTGAATATGGTTTTAAGTAGGTATTCGCATGATTGTCATAGTTCAGTTATTCCTTGATCTTTTGAGTTGAGACTTTCTATTCCATTAAACTATTACATATGCTATCCAGCATGCATCTTCCCTATAGTTATACCTGCTTAATTGATTTTATTTGCAGAAATGTACTTTCAATAGATGAGTACTCTTCCTACTTTGATGGCATTGATCCCCTTTCTCAGTTTAAAAACTGGGAAATTAATGGGGAAATTAAAAAGAGGAGCACCTCCAAGGAGATCACTGCAAGACACAATATTTTCTCTGAAAGAGTTAAAGCAGTTTTTATTGTTAGTGATTCTGTTGACTGGAGCAGGGACATCCAGGTCTTCTTCTTGAGCTGTAGCTTACCTCCTTCCTCAGCAAGACTTATTTTTTGGCCATGTGTCTTTTAAGAATATTGTTGAATACATCACTCAAATCAGGTGCTAATTGAACATTCACTGGTGAAAACATAGCAAGGATTCTCCTTTACCAGTATAAGCGATCAAAGGACTAGATGAATCAATGTCTACTTTAAAAATTAGAATCCATTTGTGCCACACCATGAAGTGATTCTTATTTTCATTTTCATTTTCTTTCTTTTATTTTTTTAGCGAGAGGGGGAGAGAGTTTCAGGGAAATGCTTCCAGTGGGAAATCCCATCTGGTTGGAACTTACCAAGGAAACATTTCTGCTCAAATACAAGGTAACCTACTGGAATTGCATGTAGGAAGAGGACAGTGTTTCTTTTTTCTAGATTGAATAGGACAATGTTTGTTGCATCCATCCACCCCCTCCATAAGAAAAAAACAGAAAACAAAAATTAAAGGGGAAGCTCTTGATAATAATGATAACAACAACAACAACGACAACAACAACTATTATTATTATTATAGAAAACTAAATTTTCTTATTTCTTAGAAGTCTCTTGGGCCAAAACCAGTGAGGTGCATGCCTTTTTGAAGCAAGGTGCAAAAATACAAAAAAAAGCTAAAAATCAAAATAAAAATGTCAGAAAATTAAAAAAAGCCAAAAATTTAAAAAATGCAAAAAATTCAAAAATATTAAAACATAATGTTAATAAAAAAATATAAACTTAAATTTTAAAATAAATGTTTTAAATAACCTATTATCTAAAGTTAAAATACATAAACATGACATGTAAAGTGTATTCAAATGAAAATTTAAAAATAAAAGCAAACATATAAAGCATTTTCAAGCATGTAAAACCCACAATCTCTTTTTTTTTCTTCAATTGCATTACTTCAAGTAGCTAATGTGATGTAAAACATATTGCATTCTTGATTCTACTGCCTTTGTACCACGCCCCTCGAGGCAAGCCCAATCAAATCCATGTTAGGGTCTTAAATTATTATTCCTTACATAAAAAATAATGATTTTATAACTTGAATTGCCTTTTAAGAAGATATATTTTTTTGGAATGAATGAATGAACAACATTAGCAAATAGGGGGTTCTTGGAGTCAATGCTGTTTTTTCCAGCAAAAAGCATTGGGCTAATAATTGGAAATGATATCAGGTTCTCTGTGACATTCTAAGAACTGGGGGTCTTCCTGGGCGGGAGAATGGGCAGCAACCACGACTGTATTTTGCAAATGATGATCTTGAGTATCAGGTTAGTTGAAATGCTAATTTGGAGATTTTGTTTTGAGAAAGCTAAAAATAGTCATCTAGACAACAAAAGGTCAATCAACATCAAAACAGTAGGAATCTGTTGAATTAAAAAATATGAAAGAAAGTAGTTTCTTGAAGAGAGAATGAGGAGAGAAGGAGAAGAGAAGAAGAGAAGTTGAAAAGAAAAGAGAGCAATAATCTGGCCGCCCCCTTCACTAAAATAATAGAACAGTACAAAGATAATTATGCCCTTATAGGGTGGCAAAACATAGAACATCATATATAACACTCCAAAAAGATAATAAAATTTGGACTCACATAACTACTGTGGTCCCCACCTCCTATCTAACAACTAGCATAAAACATCTACTCAGAAAAACATCATAAAACTAATTAATCTTCAACACTCCCCCTCAAGTTGGGAGTAAATGTCACACATTCCCAACTTGCGTAGATCATGTTCAAGCTTGTTCCTTGCCACCC